TTGTTATGGGCACCATACAGATCTAATTGTTATTTTGGTATAAGACCTAGAAATATTAATAATAGTCCATTGATTATGGGTGTTATGTGGTATGACAATTCCAGGAAAGATGGGATGGTTAATATTAGACATTTTGTTGATCAAAATGACAAGATGTCCAAATATTCTTGGGAAATATATGACCCTAGAATTGGTGGTAAAGAGGTTATCATTGATGAAACAAATAATATGAATGTTACCTTTACGTTTGTTAAAAGCCGTAATGGGGAAAACTGGGCTGTTAGAGTTAATGGAAAGCCAATAGACGCCTCTAGACCTTCTACTGCATCAATGATTATATACTTCAGTCAAAATGGTGAAGAAGATGGTTCTAAATTGGTTAAAATTGCTAATGATGATTCCAACAATATATCATTTAACGGTCTTTCTAAAGAATTGGGCAGTTATAAATTATCTTTCAATGATAATTACGGAACATATTTTGTTGATCCATCCCTTCCTTCAATGGAAGTTGCCCCTGGTAGTGACAGTTCCAGGACTAGTCATGTTTCACTTAGAGTACCAGATAAAGAGACCTGGAAGGCAAAAGATATTTACCAAACTCTCTTGACCGAATCTATTAACGACCTTGTCGGCAAGGACCAAGCTGACTTCCATCCATCTTTAATTCCAAGTATTTTGACCATTAGAAATGTTCATAACTTTCCTCCTGGTAATTTACATTACATTCAAAAGACTTATGATAATTCTAATGAAGAAGGTTTTGAATTCGATATTACTTTCAATAAGAGGAAGACGACTCAAAGGATTAGGTCCAGAAAGGACATTTCTGGATTGATTTCTAGGGCAGTTAACGAAATCCAATCCAAATTTGATAGAATATTTAAGATTAAAGAAGAATCGGCCCAATATAGACCATTTGCTTTGGAAACTTTATCAAATTTGTTGGGTGGTATTGGTTACTTCCATGGAAGCCAAATTGTTGATCGTATTACTGAGCTTGATGATGAGACTTTTGATAAGCCTAATTTTAAAAATAGAAAGGAAGAAGACCCTATTGACCTGTTCACTAGTGTGCCAAGTCGTGCTTTTTTCCCACGTGGTTTCTATTGGGATGAAGGTTTCCATTTACTACAGATTATGGAGTATGATTTTGATCTTGCCTTTGAAATCATTACTAGCTGGTTTAACAATATTGAAAATGAGACTGGTTGGATTGCAAGAGAGGTTATTCTGGGCGAGGAAGCAAGGGTCAGAGTGCCAGAAGAGTTTACAGTTCAAAGTCCAAAAATTGCTAATCCTCCTACCTTGTTGTTAACTTTTAGTGAAATGTTGAATAGAGCTATAGAATATCAGAATCAAATTACTTATGGTGGTAATAACATGAATCTAAATAGTAGAAGTATGGAATCTACAAGTGAACTTGAGAAAAACTCTGAATTGTTGGTTAAATATGCGAAGAAAATATATCCAAAATTATTACAGCACTATCACTGGTTTAGAGAATCTCAAAGAGGTGTTATTGAAGAATATGAAGAAATTTTTGAAGATTTAGGTATTTCAGATAAGGTTCACACTGAAGAGCTATATAAATGGTCTGGTCGTACAGTTGATCATTGCTTGCCAAGTGGTTTAGATGATTATCCAAGAGCCCAACCACCTGATATTTCTGAGTTAAATGTTGATGCATTGGCATGGGTTGGTGTTATGACTAGATCAATGAAAAGAATTGCCCAGGTTTTGAACTTAGAAAAGGATGAAAATCTTTATGAACAAATTGAGAGGGAGATTGTCGAAAATTTGGATTTGATTCATTGGAGCGAAGAGAAGAATTGCTACTGCGATGTCGTTGTTGATGAGTTTGATGATGATCTTCAGTCGGTATGCCATGAAGGGTATATTTCGATCTTGCCATTTGCCTTAAAGCTAATCCCTGAGGACTCTCCTAAATTGGACAAAATAGTTGATCTGATGCAGGATAAAAATAAGCTATTTTCTGATTTTGGCTTACGTTCTTTATCGAAAGAAGATGAAAATTTTGGTAAAGGTGAAAATTACTGGAGAGGCAAGATTTGGATGAACATTAATTATTTGTGCTTGGATGCATTAAAGTACTATTATCCAGCAATCGAAACAGGTGTCAACAAATCAGAATCCAAAAAGGCAGTTTCATTGTATAATAATTTAAGAACTAACTTGATCAAGAATGTTTACAAAGTGTGGGAAGAACAAGGATTTTGTTATGAAAACTACGATCCAGTTGATGGTCATGGTACAGGAGCTGAACAGTTTACTGGGTGGACTGCATTGATCGTAAATATTATGGGTCTTTTTTAGTCAAAAGTTCACTTATTATTTCTTCAAAGAAAAATAAACTTTAATCAAATAACTTTATCAATGCCTCTAGGCAAACCAGAAATAAATAAACAGAGGATACTTTATGAACCACATATAAATTTTATAGTTTGTTGTAAAAAAAACATTTTCTAAAGTAGTTAACAAAAAGAATTGGGGGTATTGATTACCAGCCCAAAACATTAAAATTATGCTTAAACAAGTAAGTTTTTAAAAAAGTATGCATTGCATGGAAGATGCAACCAATGTTATTATAACATTAGAAAGACGTCATATGATTATTCCATGGTGATACAGAGTTGACTTTCAGCCAATCAATTACCAAAACAAGACGAATAACAATGGGCATACCAGACTAATAAGCTATTACTTAACCTAGTCAAAAAATGTATATAGCCTTGCATAAACTGATATCCTTAGTAATCACCGTTACTAACAACCTTGAACATTATTGCATATAGGAAGAAACCAGCATTCACGTGACTATTGATACTTTTTTATACGCTGAGTTTTTCGAAACCAGCAAGATTTCGTTTCAGAGGAAAGCGTAGCGAGATCTTTAATTCGAAGAAAGTGGGAATGTTCAAAAAGAAACATAGTGGGAAAGTTTTATGGAAACTTGGGAAATAATTAGCAGAATAAGTAAGAGCTGAGATGCATCAATAAGAAGGTAAATACAAGCTGGAACTAATTGCTTGGCCTTATTTTACAGCATTATTTTGGAGTATGGATCCACTAAGATCAGACCCTTGACAATTGATGTGTTTTGTAAATTACTTTTGTTTTTGTTTTTATTTACTGATTTCGTAATTTACTGGACTTTTTAAAAGTGTCAGGATCCTGAAAAGCTGCATTATAGTAAAGGACATTTTGAAATTAAACTGTTTGTTTGAGCTTATGATTCCTAATGTCGGTTTGTTATTGTTATTATATTTTTTTTGTTGGTTATTTTGATTTTGGTTTGTTATTATGAGAGCTCATCTATCCAACCTGAATTTAATCAAAAGTTTTAAGGAAGTTTCAAGAAATTGAAATGTTATAAATAGAGGAACTGTTTTACGAATTTAGATCATCATCTCATTTCCATTTTCCCTATTTATTAATGATGTATTATAATTATATTTCATAATGGAAGAAACCAAACCAATCGATAACGACTACTTTCCTTTAACAAGAGATTTATCTCAATTAATTACTCCAACTAATACATTCACTCATTGAAATTAATATAACAATAGCCACAATTATTTAGGTTATTAAATCAAATATAAAAAATTGTTTCACTCACTTTGATTACATACATTCACTAATCCTAAAAAATTCAAACTAAGTCTTTCACTATAGCAAACTATTCATAACAATAAAGAAATGTACTCACAACTTACTTCATACTTTTTGATAAGTTTTATTTTATCCTCAATTACGATGGCTTTGCCAATTCACAGAAGAGAAATTGTCACCAGAATTCATACTGCCAGTACAACAAATGTCGTCACTGATTTCTACTCCACAACTACTGAAGTGGTTGTAGCTCCTACTGTTGAATTTATTGTCAGTAACGATGTTACCTTTACCACCACTTTGTTTCCAGCTGGCATTGACACTACTGTTTCCCCAGCTACTACTATCACCACAGTCGTTGCCAAGCAAGTTACAACTAACAATATCATTGTTAACACCGCAACTCCATCCAGAACTACCTTAACACCAGTTGATATTGGTAACGTCTTAGGTCAAACTACTACATCCACAACCGATGCTGCTGTAGTTGCTGAATCCACTACTTCTCAACAAATATTCACCGTCTCTGCAGTTCAAACCGATAATGTTGCCGCTCCTTCCACAACATCAACCACTGAAAATGTCGCTGCTCCTTCAACTACTTCAACCACTGAGAATGTTGCTCCTGTTGCTTCTTCAACTCAAAAGCAATTGGTTACCATCTCTGCTGTACAAACCCAAAATGTAGCGGGTAATTCAGTCGCATCACCCACTACTGCCACATCTGCTGCCACTACTAGTGCTACTTCTAACAACAATTCTGACAACAACAATTCTGACAGCAACAGTTCTGACAGTAACAGTTCTGACAACAGTTCTGACAACAGTTCTGACAATAACAATTCCGACAACAGCAATTCTGATGGTTACTTAACTTCTGCTCCAGGCACTATTGTCTATTCTCCATATAATAATGATGGTTCCTGTAAAGATTACAACTCTGTATACAGTGACTTGTCCTTAATCAAGTCCAAGGGTATCAACAAACTTCGTATCTATGGTACTGATTGTAATTCTTTCCAAACAATCCAACCTGCTGCTTCATCATTGGGATTAAAAATCAATCAAGGTTTATGGATTTCTGACGCTGGTGTTGACTCCATTGATCCTGCTGTTTCTTCTTTAATTTCTTATGGTGAAACAAATGGTTGGGATATCTTTGATTTTATTACTATTGGTAATGAAGCTATTATTTCCGGTTACTGTTCTGTCTCAGAATTAATTTCAAAGATTTCATCCGTCAAGAGTCAATTGAGAAATGCTGGTTACACAGGTGAAATTACTACATCTGAACCACCAGTTACATATGAAAACTACTCTGATTTGTGTACCGCTTCTGAAATTGACTTTGTTGGTATTAATCCACATTCTTATTTTGACGTCTACTCAAGTGCTTCTCAATCTGGCTCTTTTGTTAAGGGTCAAATTCAAATTGTTCAAAACGTCTGTGGCTCAAAGAGAATCTATGTAACTGAAACTGGTTACCCATCCGCAGGTATTGTTAATGGTGACAATGTTCCATCAAAAGAAAACCAAAGAATTGCTGTCCAATCAATCTTAGATGAATTGAATGATGATGTTACTATTCTAACTACCTTCGATGATTTCTGGAAAGATCCAGGTGCTTACGGTATTGAACAATATTTTGGTATAATCGACTTATTGCCAACAAAATAAATTATAAACGGTTAAACTGTTTCCATTCACTTAACATTTCAACTTTTATTTTACAACAAGAATTTTTTAAGATAATTCATTGCATTCACTCATTTTTAAACATTGATGAAATTCATTGGGATAGATATATATTAAAGGAAAAAAATTCCTATTCATCAATTTGTAATAAAGCTAAACAAGAACTTGTTTTATGCTAAATCAATTTTATTTTCCAGTTGTTTAAAACTGCATGTAACAATATACACATACATAGATATTTTGTACTTTACATTTATTAAATTAATACAGGTCATACGAAAACATTTAGAACACAAGTATATTTATTTCCAAAATAATGAGAAAAGTATTGAGAATAAATTCAGTAGAAAAGTCGAAGTGACAGGATTGAAGCTAATATATTTATTTCAATACTAAGTATACTTACCAAACGAACAATCTAGTAAACAACATAACAATAGTAGTTCCAGCAATTGCTCTTCCGAATTACTGTCATGCATGTTTGTACATTAGAGGATATTTTTCTAGTCTCTCAATTTTCTAGAAGAGGTGTTCTCCTCAGTTCCAATTTGTAATAGTTTATATCCTTGTTGCCCATCCATGCCTAGTTGATACTATTGTCCTTTGTTTCGGAATATAGAAAAAGTAACCAAAACTATTTAGATCTTTACAAAAGTGATAGCATTTAAACCAGGCGATTGGATTTCTTGTGTGCTTGGTTGCCAAATCACTGTCGGAGCCCCAAATGGCAAGAAGCTTCTTAACATAATCTTTTGAGGATATATTGAGATTTCATATAAAGGTGCATTGTTGACCTTCATATTATAGGTTCAATTTCGGACATTGACCGCAGCTTTTGCGGCATAATGCCAAAACTTTAACCGAATTCGTGCCTGTATCAATAATGTTCGTGCATCTGAGATAATTGTTCTGATACCTCGTTCTGCTCTTGCATTTGCAGAGTGGTCCTGAACTGCTGTAAATACACGATGGATACCGAATTCATCACACAATTCTTTGAGCTGTGAATTATTAAACCCAGATCCTCTATCCATTATTAGTTCCTGTACCGTACGTCCAAATTGGGTTTTAATAAAATGTATGCTGTTTTCAATTTGGTTGGTGTACGTATTCATGTCTTTTGTAAGATGTGTAGATATAATGACATACCTTGAGACATTGTCGATCATGACTAACATAAATCTATAGTTGTTGTTTGGAGATGGTTTAACCGGTCCAAAAGTATCTAGACTCCAGGATGCACCTGGTGACTTAATATTTGAATAATGATTCATTGTGTCTGTGTAATAAAATGCGTCTGAGATACCATTAAGAAGAGGATCGTAGTGCTGACGCAAGCCGGCATCCGTATACACCAGGTGTAGCCCCTAGCCCCTGACAGTATCCGCAGCTAGTGCCCAGTATCACCACTAGTATCATAGTAGAGTTTGTAATACTCCACTATCTTGGTGTCAATGTTCGAGCCACCTGTGACACCCCATTCGAAATCGGTGTTCATACTCTATTCATAGACAAGGTATGAATTACATAGTGGCACGTAAATTGGATAATCATTCCGTTTTGCGTAGGTACTATTCGACAAGTATGCTGGAGCAGCCCTTAGGACCCCGGTACCCGGGTCATTGTCGTGGCTGAGGGCATATTGTGAGAGCAACTCCAGTGGTGACATTAAGCGCAATAATTGAACCTTCATTACCCATAGTGTCACGTTTAGTAAGGTGAGGGGCCTCATACAGAACGAGGTCATCATCAGTGTCAATATTTCTGAGGCCCCACGTAATGAGTCGGTTGAGTCCCACTCATCGTTGGCCCGTTTGGCGATAGTGATACCTTACCGTTCATGTCTATGTCCGCTGAACCTTTTACAGACCCTCTACCATGCTCTTTCCAGTTAATAGCCCGACCAAGACTGATGAGCGTTATTATCGTCGACCAGCCCAGAAACTTGGCTTCATCCTGACAGTCTTGATCGCTTATACCATTCTTGCATTTCTTGCATGTTTCAACAACATCCCATATCGTACTGTACGCATGAAGTGCGAAAGCTCCCCACACCTCTAACTGCCCTAAGTCCTGCGTGACAGCAACGACACATTCCCACGCTACAGCTATAGCGTGAGGCTTCATACGATCAAAGAATGGATAAGCACATACTATTATGATGGCATATAGTGAAAAAATGGATAGGGTTATTAATGCTTTTCTCATTTTTTCTAACTGGATCATTTTTTTTTTCTGATACACAGTTACCTGTTATATTACTATACATACCTCTCTTTTATACTTCAAGATGCCTTCAAGAGTTTTCGGTTCGGACAAACACTCGTGAGACATGATAATATGGCTTTATATTGTATTGTTTCAAGATTATGTCGTGCGACATTGAAAATGTCGAAATATGAATCGTTACAACAAATGGTGTCATATTATCAATATTGCTATTTCAAGAGTTTATTGTGTATTATTTAGTGTATTAACATGTACATAAAAGAAATATAGAACTACATTATTAACTAATAGTATATTTACTTTATCATACAGATCTCTACATTAAGATCCTACTGAATAGACGCCTAACAGCCTTTATTCTAACGGATAACATACCAAATATACAACTAAATAATATTTAAAACTATCAATTACTGTTGTGACTTTAACCTGGATACTCTAGGATAAAGTTTATGTCACTATTGCTGTTTTTCGTACAAGGTGAATGTATCGATTTCTCTAATATATAAAGGGAACAAATTTTCAGTTCCGATATATAAAACTATTTCTGTTATATAGACTACTCTGTTACAAGAAGATGAGCGAGTTACCACTCACTGACCTCAGTAATAGGCGAACGTACCTATTTAACGTATATTTACTTACATTGAAGCTTACAGCTTATACCATTCTGACAATTACAGGGCAAATAATACATTATCACTTTGTTGGATCTTAGCTCTATAGGCAAAATCTTCTTGTTGTCTTTCATCCATCTTAGCATTCAATTCTTTGATTGACTCTTGTAAGGCCTGGATTGATGACTCCATTTTATTTTCTGGCTTCTGGGATTTAAACTTATGAAAAGGGTTTGAGTTTGAGTATCTGTAGAGAATCAGAGGGTTGTGGATTCTTTACAGAATCTTTAATAGTATTAGATTGTTTAGTTGTTTGCAAGGACATTCTTAATAAGTTGATATTGATCCGGTGTATTAAAGTATAAAATATACACATGGGAATATAGTACATATGATAAGTATCAATTAAGATCTCATCATTTCTTATATACATTGTTGGAAATGTTTTCAGCGTCAGTAATACTTTCGTGTAAAGTAACATTTCTTTATCCTATATGAATAATGTCGTAATACGTTTAGATCACGTGTTACATCATAATTCTGACAGTATTGCTGACATTGGTCATGTGACGTTTCTTATAAAGGCATATTATCATGTCTCACGAGTGTCTGTCCGAAGTGAAAATTCTTCAAGGCATCTTGAAGTATAAAAGAACCTTATGCAACGTCATATATTAAGTAACTATGTATCAGAATAAAGAAATGATCCAGTTATCTAGTAAACCAGTGACAATGACAGTTGAGACCAATCCTACAATCCAGTAAGTATCTTATTAATCTTATTACTTAGGGTTTAACAAAACGTTTGGTTGCTTTACAAAATAATTATTTTGTATTGTTTGATCCGGAATATTGAATATTAATGTAATAAGGAATTATCTAGGGGAACAATCACATTCATGTTGTAATTCATTATCAAAAATATTTCAAGAAATAAGCGGATTTAGCTCAGTTGGGAGAGCGCCAGACTGAAGAATTAACTTCGGTCAAATCATCTGTTATCTGGAGGTCCTGTGTTCGATCCACAGAATTCGCATTTATTTTTTGAAAATTTTTGAAGGAGTTCATACAGCCAGCCAAACATTTTCAGCAATGAAGAGTAGTATTGGGTAGTATTTTTTTTCTTAAAAAAATAAATACATTTTCAATTGAACACCTTAAACAGCAAGAATAACAGCAGAACAATGATCGGACTTATGAGTAAAATGATAAAGAAAATTTATTAAAGATAATACATAAATTTATACTAATATAAAGATGTTAAATTAAGAATTCCTTTACATTTAAGCCAAAGTGGTCAAGATATCAGAGTCACCAGCATCCAAAATGGTCAAAACACCGACTCTGAATAACTTACCGACGGCAGTACCCAATTCGTTGTTACCACCTTGGAAGTAGTAAACTCTGGTCTTGGACAACATAGCGTAATATTCCAATTCAGATTTTCTCAAAACTGGGGTGTTAGCGGCAATGATGACCAACTTAGCCTTACCTTGTCTCAAAGACTTGATGGTAGACTTGTAACCTAAGGTGTACTTACCAGATTTGATAACCAAGGTTAACTTTTGGTTGATAGATTCTTGGGATTTAACTGGGGCCTATATGAATATTATATTTTCAAACGTGATGATACATTTGATTAAGAATGATGTTAGTAAAAAATATTCCACAATTTATAGGGCATAAAATAAAACTAATCCGAGACGTAATTTGAAGAAGATTCATACATTGATCTTTAGTTGCATCTTCCTTGATAATGTTATTAAATACAACATCCTCGAAACATTATAATTAATCGCATAACGAAGAACAAAAAATAGTAATCTGATGTATTCACCATATCTTCCTATCACATACACATTATAGAAATATCACTAAGGTATACTGACCATCTCTGTGTATTTGCTGGTTTGATAGTTCTTAAAACACTCCGGTCTAAACTGGTCTTTTATTAGTAACTAATAATCAAGAAATAAGCCTTTTAAATACTAAAAACACATTTTTTCAATTAACTAATCTTATAAATTAAACAAGCCTTCATCAATCTCTCACAAGCAATTGCAATAAGATATCAGAATGAAAAATTATTTCGAACTGTAATTCTAACAAAGTGACAATAGTGAAGGAATTTGCTAAAATGATGATAGTTTGAAACTTTTTTTTTCCAACATCTGAATTTGACAAAGATTGAGTATCTTCCGGTTGATGAACAAAGGTTTACTTTGAAAAATTATCTTACTGTTAAAACATTCAGAACAAAATGTCGTAGTAAAGCGAAGTGACTGTATGATACATCAAAACACCACACAACAAAGCGACTCTTTTCTGTGAAAAAACATTTTCAATTCTGAGAAAATAAATTTGAAAATATTCCGAATTTGTTCGTTTTTCATTTGTTTGGCTGTGTTTTTTGTGCGTCATCCACTTCAATTCGTTTCATACTTTTTTTTTCGCACTCTGTACCTCTGTGCCACCGTTCTCTCTCTTCCCAGCATTGGTTTGGACAGACATTCTGTGAGGCTAAGAAGGGAACGTCTGCCTGGAAGGAAGCCTCCCCCCTGGAAGGTTGGCTTTCTTTTCAGATTATTGCTCTTGTAAGTGTAGTTTCCCAGTGAGACATTGGGACGGTGAGACAAGAATTCCTTAGGCCAATATCGTCCTAGACTGAATTTCCAATTGCTGATATATCCATCATTCTGTCAATTTCCTGGGTGACGCTGGGGTGGACCATTATTTCACTTTATGTTTGGGTATCGTCCTTGTAGGGAGAGGGAGAGAGAGGTAAGATGCCGGTGGCATAGGCAGAGGATTGGAAAGAGACTAACTAATGGACGCTAACTCAGTAAACTATGGGTTCGTTTCATCGATATGTGTGTTATTATTATTATTACTATTGATGATGGGATGGGATGGACTTTATTCATTTTTCGTTATTGGTAAACTCTCAAGCAAGATTGCTTTTGGTTTGTTTAATCAATTAATGATCGATGATGGATGGAATTCTGTATCTATCCATTTACTACTGTCTAACAAACTTGTTGTAGTGTGTATTGTTGTAACGTTTATCTAGAATTACCAGTATTTTATTATTAACCGTTAATTTAAAAGGCCTCTTATAAAAGTTTCATTTAAGTTATAGTTCATATATATCATACAAGACACCAAGCAAAAAACTTGAAAAGTATGTTACAAACAAGATATGTTTAATGCGTTCGAAATAATTGCGAAATGAGTTATTGATATAACAATGTTCCAAAGCACTAAGTTGAGATGAGGATATTATAATGTGTGGTATTGACATATAGATGTTGGATAAGACGAATATAATTTGATATAGAATAGAGAGTGGGAAATTTAATTGTGGATTATGAGTATAGAAAATGGCAAAATTTTTTTATAAATTTCCTTCCAAATTCATGCTTAACTCATATATACAGTTTTAGTGGGATGTATATATATATATAAACACAAGGGAAGATAATGTTGGAATTATAATTAATTTTGATATTTCAAATAAGTTCAATTTGGTTTTGTAACGATATTTGGTAAATTCATTTCGAACCTCGCAAAGTCTAACGTTTTATTTTAGGATTAATATTTTACTAACTATAAATAATTGCATTTATTATTATATTTAGAATGAAGATTGAAATCGATTCCTTTTCTGGTGCTAAGATCTACCCAGGTAGAGGTACTTTGTTTGTCCGTGGTGACTCCAAGATTTTCAGATTCCAAAACTCCAAGTCTGCTTCTTTGTTTCACCAAAGAAAGAACCCAAGAAGAATTGCTTGGACCGTCTTGTACAGAAGACACCACAAGAAAGGTATCACCGAAGAAGTCTCTAAGAAGAGATCTAGAAAGTCTGTCAAGACTCAAAGAGCTATCGTCGGTGCTTCTTTGGATTTGATCAAAGAAAGAAGATCTTTGAAGCCAGAAGTTAGAAAGGCTCAAAGAGAAGAAAAGAAGAAAGCTGACAAGGAAAAGAAGAAGGCTGACAAGGCTGCCAGAAAGGTCGAAAAGGCTAAGTTAGCTGGTTCCCAAGGTAACAAGGTCTCCAAGCAACAAGCTAAGGGTGCTTTCCAAAAGGTCAATGCTACTTCTCGTTAAGCATAATCTAGTTAAATATCTCATTAATAATTGTCATTTATTTAGCTTTTTTTATGTAAAACTTTTCCAAACGGTATTATAATAAATATTACTATATTTTATTTTGTCAATTAAGCAATTATATAAATCATATCTTGAAATATGTATTTATTTAGGTATCAACTAAAGTCGAAGTAATTTCATTGTTCATTCCTAATAGTTGGAGAAAGCAAAAATCATTACTGATGAATAAATATTACTTAAAGTGCTGATTCACGTGTAACTAGGGTTTGGAACATTTTTCTTTTAATAATACAGGAGGAACTCACGTGATTCAATAGCAGAATAAGGGCATAGAAACAGGGTAAATGGAATTTATCAATTTATAAACCCAAAGGCGTATAAGTGGAATTTAAATATATTTTATAAATTGATCTAATTTCGAAAGTAAAGTTAAAAAGACCCAAAGCTATTATCTATAATTACAAGATCACCATTGAATATCAGTTAATAACTTTCGCCATTATTTCAATTAATAGGCTATAGGGAAAGATCAAATATTTTTTATTTTGCAATAATTCATGAACAAATAGATAGGTGAAGAAATATAATCGTATAGTCAACATGATGCAATTCAAATCTAGAATACCATTGCTCTTCAAAGACAGTTTTATAAGACAAGCTAGTCGTAGAATTTCAAATCAATTTGAATTGAATGGTCTGAGGTTCAAACTATCACCATCGTTTAAACAAAGTTTCAGATTCAATTCAACAAATGCATCGAAACCAGTTGTCAAGCCAAAAGGTATTAAAGGATTAATGCAAGTATATGGGTATTCAGCATTAGTAGTTTATATTGGTCTTTCATGTATTGATCTTCCTTTGTCATTTTTATTGGTTCATTCGCTAGGTGAAGAGAAGATTAGTGTATATATCAATAAGGTTAAACAATTATTTGGGTATGGCAAAGAAGAAGCTGAATTAATCAATGACGTTAGAGAAAGAATCAAGAAAAGGGAAGAAGATCAAGTTAATGGTCAAACAGAACAGTTAAAATTATGGGAGAGATTGAAACAGAGTACATTATTGACAGAGCTTTTAATCGCGTACGGTATTCACAAAAGTTTAATAGTTCTTAGAGTCCCAATAACAGCGGCTGTTACACCAAGTATGAGTAAGATATTATCCAGATATGGTATTGATTTTAAGCGTAAGAGTAATAAGATGTTTCAAACAATGTCACAAGATGCGAAGATAAGATATAAAAATAATGATCCTAATAATTTCATCAAGACGGGAACCTCTGTACCAAAGCAAGACAAGACAAAAGGTCAAAAGTGGTTTAATGGTTTGATGTGAAATTTGGTTCATTTATTAATAATAAAAATAATAATAATGCAAGAAAGCACATGCCATTTGTCTATGGATGCCCCATTTTTCTGTTTCTCATATATGCAACAAGTGAATATTAACTTAGATTATACAATAACCACAGAGAACTAAATATTACTGTAAATAGGAAACATTTTACAAGTGAATAAATAATCAATATATAGACGACTTCCTATCATTCTCATTATGAAATATCAAGGAAGTTAAAATAGCAACCGTATATTTTGTCACTATGTTATAAACCTTTTATTTGTAGCTTCCTATAAATTATCAAGACATGTGACATGGGAATAAGTGTTGATTTCTTCCCATTGATATATTATAAACGATATAAAATTATCATGAGATGTCATTGTTCCTGCCCCACAAGTACATTAACTCAATTAAGTTAGCAACAGAGGCATAACAGAGGAACAAAAAACTGTTAGTAGATTATATGATTTTTGAATCTGTAAGCTGTAAGCTGACGCATGTAGTTACTGGCTGTATTCTTTTTACGATCTCTAAAGATTAAACTGGTCTTTTCTACCTAACTTTCAAACAGATGACAGGGACAATATGACCAAGATATGAAGTTCTACGAAATTCCCAACCAACAAAAAAAATAAACATACTTTGTAGTTAGCAATTGATGCAAGACTGGGTGGGTTAGATAGATATCTTCTGTTTTGGGTATAATTTCGAATTCAAAAAACAATACCACCGAATTAAATACAGTAAGTTATACAGATGTAAGTGGGTGGGGGGGATAAAGTACGAAAAATGGGGGAAGCATTGATAATAATCGGTCGACAATTCCCCGTCAATTGAATCTCTTTCCAAATCAAAGTTGATAGATGGTCCACCCACAAAAACATTTTAGACGAGAAACTCAATAGTTTTTCCGGCTTTTCGTTGCTTTTTTCTTTTTATTTGTTCCATTTTGTCTTTTCTTTTTCTTTTGATTCTGTACCTCCCCGTTTAGTTTGACAGCTGCACAAGTCAAGAATTATTGCAATCGATATATTGTCTTACTAATGAATTATTTGAAAAGCCATTTCTCTTTGTCCCCTCCAGAATGCAACTAATGTCATTATTACAACAAAACGAATCCAATTCATCATTACCATTTGCAATACAATAGGCATTTTAGTTAAGCATTGGCTTTGGTGGGTAGCCTTAAAAACCTAACTTGAGACAGCCATTCATAAACAGACGGAGGAGGGAGTGGGGAGGGGGTGGAGGAAGAAAGAGAGCTCATCTCGAACGCGGAAAAACAGTTTCGAAGTTTCTTTTTTTCCCCGTCGTGTGTGTTTGCTGAATACTCTCGTAGTGATTTTGTCATTATTGGGTATCTGATGTGGCAGAGGATATAAAAAGCAACGACAGTGCCCGCCTACCCCAGCAAGGAACCACGCAGACGACTCGGATAAAAATCGAAATCCAAATGCAAAGAAATGAGGAAGCGAAAAAGAAACGTAGCAGTTGCTCGAAAGAAAAAAAAATAAATGGATAAATAATGAAAAAAAGAAATGTTTTCGTTACTTCGAAGGAAAAACCATTGAGAATATCAGCCAGAAATTGAAAAAATCGTTTTATTACACAGAGAAACAACGATAGCAATATAGTGATGGATGAGTGAATGAATGGATGAGGTAGGTAGGATATAGGAAGGCGGGAGACAGAAAGGAACAACAAAGTGGTTTTTCGTCTATCTGGTTAGGTTGGCTAGATAGATATGTTTTTTAGAAATTATATAGTATAGTTTGACGGTCAAATTAGTGTGCAATCGCAACAAAAATACGGAACGCCTACTGTTTTTCTCTTCGAAGTCCAGTGTGATAATTGTCGAGAAAGACGACACACCTTTAGTAAGAGAAGAGAAGAGAGTAGAGGAGATGGCAGAGTTAATGCGACACTTGGGTAGTTAGTCTTCACTTCAACCTTGACCTCTTTATTATGGTAGAGAAGGAAAAACAGTTGATTATGTAGGAATTGGAACTGCTGGTGGTGATGAGTTGGGAAACTGAAATGAAAAGTATACAGACATACACACGCATCACTTTTTTTTTTTTTCTTTAGATTGAAAAATGAAAAGTTCGAGATGAGGTTGCTATTTACTTTATGGAATTTTTCACAGGTTTTATCACTAAATTTTTTTCCTCCAAAACAATTAAAAAAAATTGTGGGCAATATAAGTTAATCAAGATTGTTTAATCCGTTCTCACCCCATGTATATATTGATGTTACTCATTGATATATATTCAGTGATTTCAATAAAGTTATAAGACTAGTTTGGTTATATTTTTGGGATTTAATTTTTCCAGGTCGTTAAAAGAATAAGAACAAGAATTTAGTTTTTCTTTTTGTCCACACCCCACATTTTAGTCATCCCATCTCATCTCAATATATTATATTATATTATATTTAGAAATAAAAGCTTTCGAAAGACGTTTATACCCAACCTATATTAGACTGAGTAAATAGCTAATATAGAAACATACCATCACTGAAAGATGAGTGAAAATACTGGAGGTGCAAAACCTTCTAAAAATATTCCAAATTCAACTAGGCCAACTGCTGCAACTGCAAATAATACCGTTGCAAAACCAAAAGAAAAACCAAGACCTCATGTTTGTCCAATATGTAATAGAGCTTTTCATAGATTGGAACATCAAACTAGACATATGAGAACTCATACTGGTGAAAAACCACATGAATGTGATTTCCCAGGTTGTGTAAAAAAATTTAGTAGAAGTGATGAACTAACAAGGCATAGAAGGATACACACAAACCCAAATCCTCGTGGTAAGAGAGGCAGAAAGAAGAAAGTAGTTCCAACTGCATCTCCAACTAATCCAACTCAAACTACTACCATCGATAAAATTGGATAATAATCTACAAGATGTTATTCCACCACCTATAAATGGAAATTTTAATATTAGCCCAAATGCGAACACTCCTATTTCTTCAGCAGGAAGCTCAAGAGTAAGATTGAATGCTTTGTCTTCACTACAAATGATGACACCTTTAAACAATAACTCAAACAATCCTGCAACATTAAAAGAATCAACTCCTGCCATATACATGGACACTCCAGATAAAAATAAACATTTATTACTGCCAAGACCAAAATCATTTGGTGATGGTTTAAATAATTCTATGCCTTTAATTAGACCAAAGTCCTTAACCGATTTAAAGAATTTTGCTCATTCTAATAATCCTCAACCTCTATCTTCAGGATTGAAGAGACCAAACTCTGTCCTAAGTTTAAGCGACCTTTTGGCAACAAAAAACCATGGTAGTAGCAATGTAAATTCAGATAACGAAAGTGACGAAGAGTATGAATTAAAAGATCCAAATAATTACGATTATGATAATGACAATTACGATCAGGTTAGAAAGAAGTCAAAGACTTCAACTCCAACAAAAATACTTAGTAGAAGTACTAGTGCAACAAACTTGATGTCAATAACAGGAAATTCTTCAAGCAACAATAGTTCAACTAATTTAAACCAGCTGAATATTGTTCCAGTTCCAGCATCGATGCTGCCCTTATCTAGTCCGAATAGCAATAAAGAAGACACTTTCTCTAATGCTTTAAATGATCGGTTACTTCAAGTTCAGCAACAACAGCAACAACAATTTGGTACTCAATTGTCCCCTAATAGTAACATACAAAACCTTGACAGCAACTATATAGATAACAAGTTGCCACCTTTAAGAAGTTTACAATTACAGTTTCCAACAGGTTAACAATATTCATTTTTCAAAACTACAATATTCATACAGGAATATGCTTGTATAATGACAGTATTTTTAAATGGGGGAAGTCAAATGGTTCACGTTGGTAGGCCATATATACTATCGTGCCTTTTGTCTTTATTGGGTTATCATTTTATTTGTATTATATTTAGAGATATTTAATATTTTTTTCATAGAGTTTCATAAAACTTAATAGATTTGATAGATTTTTTTTACAATTGCTAAATTAAAAATGCTCTTCTTTTATTTACATAGAATACCACCCTTACAAATACCTCAAATAAAATTCAAAAAATATTTAAAATTATCCAAGTAATTACATATATCTAAAAATAAAAAATTTTAACTAACGAATGTTAGCCAATCTCAAAGTATTCATATGAATCTTAATATCCATTTCGTCAGCACCTTCCTCAATATTCTTAATACGTTCATCTTGGGAGTCTAATTCCTCACCTGTAGCAACTGCTAGCTTCCTCAATCTGCCACTAATTTGTTGAATCTTATCTAAATTTCTATCAATTTCAACTTCCATGGCATCATCTTCTTCATCGTTTTCGAATTGATACCTTTTAGCTCTATCAAGAATTTCATTTCTTTTGTATCTTTCTCTCACTTCACTTATTTCACTATGGTCACTTAGTGCTCCTTCAATTCTTTTGGTAGAATTATATAGGGTTTGGTTTGTACGTTCATTGATTAACTTTTCTTCCATTTTACGTCCCTTTAATTTCTCTTCCTTTTCTAATTGTCTTCTTTTGGAATTAAATGGATTCGAAACATTAACAGCAAAAATACTACGATTAAGCTGTTTCAATTCCGCTACCTTATCATCTGCTGTTTTGTTTTGTACTTTCATTAAGTTCAAATTATTTTCAATACTGTTTAACTTTTCACTTTGATGACCAAGCATACCTAGAGAATTCATACCAGCTAATTCTGCTTCTTGAGCCATTTTCAATGTATTTCTTGTTGAGGCAACTGACGATTGCTTTACGAATTTAATCTCTTGCTTAACTTCATCCACTGCTTCATCTTCTTCACGTTGTTGTCTTTGTTCTTCCTCTCGCTGAATTTCTTCAAATGTTTTGAATCCTCTTTGAATACCTCCAGCATGTTCAAACTGATAGTCCTGTCCATTATAGTTGTAATCATAATTTTGACCTTGTTCTTGTTCCATTTGCCACTGGTCCATTTGATAGTTTCCGCGATTCTGTTGATTCTGCTGATTCTGCTGATTCTGTTGATTCCGTTGATTCTGTTGATTGTATCTTGCTGGAAGCTGCTCTTGAACAGCATTCAAATCATCACAATTGGCGCCTTCTTCAGGAGCTTCATTAAGATCTAATTCATCTAATGGTACACTACTTTTACTGACACCACCTATTTGATCTGATCTCTCTCCATAATATGCTTCAAAATCAAAACCATCATCACCGTCCTCTTCATTCATCAATGCTGATTTTTGAATATTGCCACTATTGCGATCACGATTGAAATTAGTCTCGTTATTTTCATTCAAATCAAATCTTTGTGTTTCCGTTCGATTCAAATCCATTGTGCTCTCAGTTTCAGCATGCAGCAAGGTAGGTCTAGCTAAGTTTCTTCTTGAAGGTGCCACATTCTGCTTTTTTGGCGCATACGAAGTGTTATAGGCATCTTCTTGCATTGAGGCATAAGGATTAGAACCTTGTGTAATATTAATTCTACCACTGCTTGCAGCTTGGTTAGCTTGGTTAGCTTGGTTAGCCTGGTTAGCTTGTCTACCATATGAATTTTGCTTATTTATAGAAGAGGACGATTGATTCTGAATTCCACTTGATTCATTTTGGTAAGAATTGTAACTGTCGCTTACTTCATTTGATTGATATGTATTTCTAACTCCATTATACGCATTTAAATCATTGGTAGGATCTTGACGGTAGTTATTACTTATATTCTGTTGAGAGTTAGAAGCTTGATCACCATATGATCTATTTTCATTACCTTGCTGTATTCTAGAATATGGGTCATTATTTTGTCTACCTCCTGAAGTATTAGTTGAATATGGATCATTTGAATTTGTATTCTTTCGTGAGTATGGGTCACTATAAGGATCATTATTAGAGTATCCTTGATAAGGATCACTACCAGATCCATTGTTTCCAGTTCTTCTTTCATTAATTGCATAAGGATCACTACTAGATCCATTATTTCCATTGTTAATTGCATACGGATCGTATGCACTTTGATTCCGTACATTATTTTGTTCCTCAGCATAAGCCACTGCTTCAGGACCAGCATTTTGCTGTCTCTGATAGTTTTCATTAAAAGATGCCATACCATTTTGCCTTCTAGCATCTTTATCAACCTCTGATTTATTTAAATCATCATCCACATGATCTTGTGGTCTTGCATACTGCTCATAACCGGCAGGCGCATAAATTGTCTCCTTTGTTTTATCTCTAGCAAATTGACCATAGGCAGCAAACTTTTCACGCTTTTTTTTATTAGGATTCTTAGTTGATATACCTACATCCTGCAAGTTATTCCTATTCTCATCTGGAGTCTCCTCTTCTGGAGGTTTCATCTTAAGGAACTTTCTTAAACCCATCTTGATCTATTCTGATTCTTAATCCAATTCAAAAAACTAAAACAAACAAATAAACTTTCTGTCAAACACAGTTCAACTTACCACAAATGAACTAACCAGTCCAGTTCACAACTATCATATACTATCAAATAACTTTTATAATATTTCTTCTAAACTAGTTTTTGAACTTCTATATTTATTATATATAATGTTCGTTAAAAGTACTGCTGCGCTGTGTTCCTGTTTCTTTTTGAATGCAACAGATTTTTCTACTAACCATACAAAAATCGAATTCAAAAAAGGAAAAAAAAGATTATTGCTGTCTATCAAGACCTGTGTCAGTAATTATTGGCCAAAGTTTAAATGACAGGTATAAAAGATATGCAATTGTGGTATAAAGTTATGCAAATATTCACTATTTAATAATATAAAAATGTTTTTCTGGAGGTTTTTTTGAAGTTCTTGTTGTATTGTAGTCTTCTCGATAAAAAAATAAAATAAAGGAAGAGAGAATGTTTTCTTTCTATTAAGCAAACGAAGAAAATTTTGTTATTATCTTGTAAGTTTTTATTAATCATTGTTTTCAAACTTATCAATATGAATTGATTGTGCCCTGCTATTGTTTTTAATTCTATTATGTCCACCCAATATATAATTTTTTCCTGTGTTAACGACCATACTTGATTGGAATTTTGTATTTACATTTGTTGGCGTTCCCCAAGTGTTTGAAAATATATTAGAAGACGATGGATTACTAGGGGTGGATGGTGTGCTTGTAATATTATTTCCTGGATTCCCACTTAATATCATTCTATTCCCTGTAAATTGTGAATTATTGAATGATTGTAAGTCTGAAGTGACAGATATATTATTTTCATTATTATGTTGTGCTGATGAGTATGTTGGTGTGTTCGAAGTTTCCAATTTTGGCATATACATACCTACTGGATTATTATTCGTGTTGTTGTTTGTCATTGGATTATAATAATAAGAATTGTTGGAAACTGTAGATATGTTTGCTTCACTGGAATTAGGCATTCCATAACTTTTATTTGATGGGATAAATGATGATGCCGAATATGCGTTAAATTTTCCTGATGTCATTGATGGGGACACACCGGATATATTTGTAGATGATTGATCTGGAGAAGGTTCGCTGTAGTTCGCTGTAGATGTTGCAGCTGAGGTGGAGTGTGTCATTTCATGATCAGTTATTTTGCTATACTCTTGATATCCTGGTAAAAATTCAAAAAGTTCTGCAAAGGTAAATTCTTTCTCATCTACATTAGGTTGATCAGTGCTAAAAATATCTTTGAAAAACTTAGAATAAACTTCTGTACCATCATTCCATATGTTAATATAACTATGTAATATCTGAGTAGTTAATTCATTTTCTAAACATAGTTGTATAATTGTATTGTTCTTTCCTGAATTTCCTGAGTTTTGTTGATTATGAAAGAACAAATGATTCAATAAATTGATCGAAATGTTTTGAATTATAAGATCATCTACTGAAGCCTTTGATATGAATTTGATCAAGTGATACAGAACTATATTACCGTGAGTCTTTGTTAATTCTTCACAAACCTTTATACAACTTGAAAATAGAAATTTGCTTAGTAGGATACTTTTTTTTTCACCTAATAATGGCAATGGATGATTAATTAATTTGTTACTCAATAGCAATGAAGACATCATTGGAATAAAGTATAATTCTAAATATTGTTGAATTAATTTATGTTTCAAATTCAAATTTTTTTCAAATCCATTTAAAACCAAAGGATCTATAGAAAGTAATTTATATTGTCGTAAAAGTTCAATATTAATTGAAATAACTAAGATCAAACAGTGTAATATCAATGAAGTGTTATAGATATAGTCATTTCCATAGAATTTGTCCTGAGAATTTTGTTCAAAAACGAATAGGGATTTTGAAATTGGAGGTATTGGTGGTAATATATTTATTTCGTACCATTTTGGCAATTGATATTTTGAATTTTTATATTTAAACCAATTTGGATCAGTATTGATCTGCTGTATATTTAAAGAACTTGTTAATTCTGTAATATTTCCAATATTAATAACAAACTTTGATAGTAAAAATTGTAAAATATTAATCAAAGCCGGAAGTGATTGAGTTGAACCTATTGTACCTAAAGTTTTATGTAATTCTGTACAATAAGATTTTTTAATATTTAATAAAGATGAGTAAAGTAACATTAGTAATTTTGATTCTTCTAAATAATTCATTTCAGGGTGATCAATTAATTCCATAACGACTTGTAAATCGAATGCTAAGCCAGTATTATCTGAATTTGAATTTTCTAAATTAATGTCATTTTTAAGAAAGGCTGAAATCATCATAATTCGTATGTCATTTGGTAACCAACTTACATTTAAGCAAACTCTTTTCAATATTTTATCAATGAAATAAGATAAGTCAGTATTTTTTTTTGATAATTGGAATAAAGATTGAATATTTTCTTTTGTAATTAATAAAGTTGAGATATAGAAATCCAAAATTGATTCATTCAGGATGATATTTGATAGATTATCTTTTTGGACCTCGAAGAAGTTATTGACGTTCAACTCGTTGTTAAAATTCAACCACGATGGAATCCAATTCTTTATAAAAGTTTCAGTTAAATTCAATTGGAAGAATTGTAATGAATCTAGATTAATTTCTTCAATTTTTTCTACATATGAGATGACAGAATAAAAACCTAACGAATAATCTTTATCATCAAAACTTTCGTCAATATTTAAATCTACTAGTAATAGTTTACTCCAATTATTAATCGAGTTTATAATTAATGGATTGAATTGGTTTATAATCGAGCAATAAACAAAGATAATACATATAATATCCAAATTTATTTTTGATTTAATCAAAGGTGTGAAGATATCTATTTTATTTAAAATTTCTAAATTCTTGTTATCGATGATGGCAATGTCAGATCTTACAAATCTTAACGTATTAACTAATTTCAAAGCCAGCTTATTCAATTCTTTACTATTGATTTCATTTTTATCAATCTTATGAAATACCTTAATTACGGTTTCCACCAATTCTTGTTCAGTAGCAGATGAGATCTTACCATTATCAGTTTTATTCATCTTTGTCTTGCACCAGAAAACAAAGCTGAAAATATATTAAAGTAATGAAGCAATGATAAAGACCAAGACCCCTTCCCAGAACAAATTTGACAGTGGTATCCTTATTCTTTTATTATCTTTCAGTGATATTTCCCCCAAAACAAAATATAATAATGCAATATAAATACAAGATAGCAGCACTTGGTATATGGAAAACTCAAGTAATGAAGAGAGCTTTAAAGAATTGACCATGGAATCCTGAGATAAAAATGAACAATTGGAATATATAAAAAAAGAAGTGTATAATAGTAAATAACAACTACAACATATGGTCAAGAATAATAAAGGGTTTATACAATTTGAGTTTACCGTCAGAAACAAACAAACTAAGAAAAGAGATCTGACGATTTCTGGTCAAGGATCAATAGCTATTAGAGTGTGATCAAATCCAACACGACGAGACCAGAATTGGAGTGATATCTACAAGAGTGACAAATTATTTTTGCATAAGTAGACCAACAACATAGTACCTAACTGTGTCATCATTGGCAAATATGAGGCTACTCTCATTGTCCTTAAATCTTAATAAAGAACAGAGCATTAGCCATTAACCTCACAAAGTATGAAATCAGAACAAGAGAGAGAGAGAGAGAGAGAGAGAGAGAGAGATAGACATGCCATCTCACTCTGATCTGCAATTGAACAGAATCACATCTCCAAGATGGGTTTCAAATGTGCATGCATAGATATTTTTATAATTGTTTTGTTACTGATTCTAATCTTTGTAAAGAGATTAAACAATAGGAAACTCAATGAGAGAGAGACAGACACGACACGACACGACGGTGCAGGTTATATGCTCCTCTTCATTAGATTCCCCTTTACAGTATCGAAAGATGGGCTTGACCAACTTTACCAGAGAGATCAAGAGAAAGACCAAAGAGTAAGTAAGAGTAAGTAAGAGTATATCTCATTTCTTTAGTTTATACTACTACCATCAAAGCACTACTTCCCACAACAGAAACAAAGTCAAAGGTTCATTCATTGGTCTAGCCAGTCACCGTGCTGTTACATACACTACAAGATCACTATAACAACAGCAACCCATTACAATTTCAATTACAACATCTCGAGAGCTGCTGCTGCTGCAAGAAGCAAGGATTTCTATAACAAAAATAGCTACCAGGAATTGCTACTAGTGGTACTAATTTTGAACATCCAGTCCAGTCCTTTGCTGAAACATACCAACAATAGCAACATCAGCTTAGGTTTGAGGATGCAAGTACTGTATGTACTTCTTCAATCGTTGCAACAGTTCCATTGGACTGTGTATGTTATTGAAGTTGACGTTCTCGTTGATCCAAGATTCTGGTTTGGGTCGGTTTGAGTTGGGTTGTTGGTGTTTTAAGTGGGTCACTAACGGATTAGAGAATTCTCTGAAGGGAAGGAGAATCGAGAAGGGGCAGATGAGGAATATTAAGTAGGCAAAGCTATCTGTTAGTACATGTACAGCATAGTATCGTATTGTATTCTATATATATATATATCTATATCTATATATATATATTCTTGTATTACGATACTATGTTATGCTATGCTATGCTATGCTATGCTATGCTATGCTATGCTATGATCTCCTATGCTGTATGTATTGTATGTTTTGTAATTTTTTACTATTTTAGGATCATAATTTTTGCAATTTTTTCATTTTAATCTTGTTCATACCTGTCGTCGTCTCTTGTTTCGTGGGTAACTTTTTTCATAGCTTTTTTTTCCTCTTCTCTCTTCCTGTTCTTCCTAGCTTATATGTAAATATATATTATACTATATCGTATTTGAGTTTGAGTTTGAGTTTGAGTTTGAATTTGTAGTTGTACTATGCTTATATCCAAAATTAAAGTTTTCGAAACTATATTAGAATATTTGGTTTGGAAAACTTTTTTTTCCTTTGTTTAATTCGAAGTTGTCTTATAAAAAGTTATATATTCCTACTTGGTTGATTTGGAAGTCGTTTGTAAAATAGAAATTGGTCTCATTTATTATATTCTTTTTTTCTTTAGCAAAAAAAGAAGCATTCATATCTTTCAGGATATCTCATCTCATACACTATTACGAAATTGAGGGGTGATTGAGATATAACGCAAGCGATATATCTATCCATACACACATATATATATATGTTTGTATATATATCTTATTACACATACGCATAAATATCCATACGATTTATGAAGCATACCAATTGAATTATATTATACACTATAGCATAACATGGTTAAACTTGTACCGTTTCTGCGTAATTTATTTGCATCAAAAAGAGGTAGATTGATTATAGTTTCAATCATACTAATATATTCATTTTTTTCAATCCAAATTTCAAATAATTCAAAGTTTCAACAATTTGATAAAAAAGATCTACCCTTACCAACTACTTCTCATTCAGATTCAATTAATTTGAAAAAAACCGATGTTAACAATTCAAATGATATCGATGACTTAAGAAAACTATTATCATTTGCCTTCCCATACTATCCTAAAAAACCAATCCCAAGAAGAATCTGGCAAACTTGGAAAGTTGATACATCAAGTGAAAAATTCCCATCAGATTTTAGAACCTACCAGAAGGAATGGACTTCAAAATCTTATGACTACTCCCTAATACCAGATGATAAATTGGTCCCTTTCTTAGAAAATTTATACGCCGAAGTACCACAAGTCATCGAAGCTTTTAAAGCAATGCCAATGAATATCTTGAAAGCTGATTTCTTTAGATATTTATTATTATTCGCTAGAGGTGGTATTTACTCAGACATGGATACTATACCGTTGAAGGATTTGGAAAATTGGCCAAGTGTAGATTTGAATAAAATCAAGAAAATTAAAGCTCTATCAAATCCAATTCAATATAAAAATTTGAAATCAATGTCTCCCTATCAATACGAACCTGGTTTAGTTATAGGTATAGAAGCTGATCCCGACAGAGAAGATTGGAGTGATTGGTACGCTCGTAGAATTCAATTTTGTCAATGGACTATCCAAGCAAAACCTGGCCATCCTGCTTTACGTGAATTAATACTTAATATCACTACTACTACTCTAAGCTCAGTGGAATCTACCAATTTAAAATATTCAAATTTAATAGATCAAAATTTTAAACAAGATTATAATGTGAATTATAGACATAAAAGAAGACTTGATACAGAATATGATCATTCATCTCTAAAAAATAGTAAAAATGTTGATGGCTCAGATATTATGAATTGGACAGGTCCCGGAATATTTTCTGATATCATCTTCGATTATTTGAATAATTTATTAGAACATAATAATGATGTCGAAATTTATAATAGTAATCTAAATGGAGCATTACCTCAAAGATCTGAAAAGAAGGAAAACTTTAAAGTAACAACCACAAGAAAATTTTATGAAAAAATCACGAATTCATTAAAGACTGAAAGTCACATACCTTGGGAATTCTTCTCATTAATCTCAGAACCTGTGCTTTTAGATGATGTTATGGTTTTACCAATAACAAGTTTTTCTCCAGATGTTGGCCAGATGGGTGCTAAGTCAAGTTCAAATAGAATGGCTTTAGTTAAACATATGTTCAGCGGATCTTGGAAAAAAGTCGCAGATAAGAATGCTGGTCATTGATTTTATCTTTAGAATATTAAATTATATAGAAATAAAATTCTAATGAAATATCTGTAATTAAGAAAAAATATACATATATCATTAATAGGATTCTAATAATTTACGTCTCCAATGCTATGTTATGTCACTACTGAAATAATATTAACAATTATATTTCAAATATAGATAAGCCTACTTTAATAGTACAAAAATATACACAGATGAGGTGTGCCCATAAAATATCAAAATATATGCATAAATCTAAACCAAATGCCTGTAATTAATTTTTTTTAATTTTTTAATGAATCGATCTTATATTGATTGTCCTTAAATAATATATTTTATCTCGTAATTAGAACTTGTTCATTGTGATCATAAAATGTTACATGAAGATTTCTTCTTCTTTTTCTCCTTTGGATTTTTACCATTTTTATTTGGTGAACTACCTTTGGTGTTTGTTTTACCCTGTTGGTTTTTATTTGAGTTTGTTGCAACTGGAACTTTAGTCTCTTGCATTTGTCTTTGTTTCCCTTGAGTTGTACCACCATTTTGCTGTTGAAGATTAGGTTGATTGTTTCCATTATTTTGGAAAAGTAAAGATTTTGGTCTTGATGGAGAACCCTGTCTTGGATTTCCATTGTCGTTTGATAAGTTACCATTGCTAATATTAAGCATGTTACTACCATTTGTAGCTATTCTATTAATTGTATTAGCATGTGAATTTCCTGAAATATGCTTTTGAGATGATCTTGATGAATTATTAATGTTATTAGAATTAATTGCACCAGATTTTAAGGCTGGTATACTTGGTTTTCTTTTTTTTAAGTTATTATTATTATTCGCAACATTTTCCATTTCATCTCTTATAATCTGTCTTACTAAATCAATAAATACTTCATCAACGTTACTTCTTAACAATGCACTTGTTTCATAGAATGGAACTTTACCCCATGTACTACTAACTTCAATACCGTCCTCCACGCTAATAACTCTTTCATTTTTCAAATCTGCTTTATTTCCTACTAAAACCATTGGTACTTTTGAAGAATCTTTAATCTTCAACACTTGTTCTCTTAATTCCAGCAATTCATCTAATGATTGTTTATCAGTGACAGAATAAACTAATAAGAATCCCATACCTGATTTTATATATAATTCACGCATAGCTGTGAACTGTGCTACACCAGCAGTATCTAGAATCTCTAAATCGAAAACCTTATTATCTATCTCTATCGTTTTACGATAAGAATCTTCAATAGTAGGATCATAAGTATCTAAATAGACACCTTGTACAAACTGTACAGTAAGACACGACTTACCAACACCACCGGCACCCAATACTACTAGTTTATAATCTCTCATATTATGATGCAAATGTAAATGTATATGCTTCTATAAAAAAATATTAAATTGGTGTCAATTAATTTGAGAGCAATTCCTTTCCAAATGATCTTGATAACTCTAAACTTCCAACAAGAACTCTTTTATATTTTATACTGAAGTATATGATAAGAGTATCACGATGTTTACAAGTGTCCTAACCAGTTATGACAGCAATTGCAAAAATTATAACAATATCAATAAAGAAAAAAATGGAATCAAAAGAGTGCACTGTTTGAACAAACTTCTAAATAAAGAAATATCAGATAAAAATTCTTGATTCAATGTTTAAGGAAAACCAATAACGAGACAAAAACCAGTATTTTAACGGGAATCAATTATCTCTATCTCCTATTATTTTATTAATATAGATATGGAAATGGATATATATATATATATAGAAAGGTAAGCCTTGAAAGTTGCAATGGATTGAAACAAATTTAATAACTAACCACCAAAGGGTAGTAATAAACCTTTTCCAAAATTGAAGGTTGTAATTGGAACTTCAGGTGAGATAAGATCAACAACTTAGCAAAGTTTAAATTTATGCAAATTCTAATCAGAAACTAAGATTCAATATTCTTCCACTTTGGGCTAAAATTGACTACGTGTAACGCCAAACTTTTCACTATAATTCTATACTTAGGAAATTAATCAAGTGAGGTGAGTGGGTAGCAAGAGGACGCATGTAGTTCTTTACCCATGTTTATTATATAGGATATCTAGTGGTTTAAGAACGATATATATGTTTTTTTATGTTGATGCTCCGTTTATTTCTTAGCACCAACTTCAACTTAATTTCGAAATTTCATTTTTTTTGTTTAAGAGACAAACAAAAAGCCAATAGAATAGAAAAAAATAAAAGCTTTTTGATGTAAAAAATAACACGACAACATATTTTGTATGGTGGGAAAATAAAAAGGAATTATGGAAAATTGAAAACTGATGGGAATTTGGTGAAAATTCGTAGTACAAGTGGTGTAACAAAAATCAAAAGGGACAAGGCAATGAAACAACCAAGTAAGCAAGATATAGAATAACGTGAGTTTGGGAAAAAAAATAGGAACAAATGATTAGGATTACTGTAAGTGCGCATAGAACATAATCGGTTATGATAGAGGATAAAGTGTAGATTGCGCTTCAATCAGTTTATTTAATGGTTGTTTGGTGAGATATGAGAAGACCTCTATTCATTTTCACACATATTCAGGACAACATAAGATATTAGCATAGATACCAAGCAAACATCTAGAGTGGTAATAGTGGTTAGTGTTCTCATTATATTACTGACTTCAGTCTTATATTTTTTTTATCTTTTTTTTTTTTTGGATAAAAAAAAAATAAATTTAATTTCTACGGTATGGTAAATGGAGAACTGTAGTTTTCTTTACTGATAATTGATTGATTCGAGATGAGTATATTTAGTCAATTCTTAAAAATTCTTGAACACAGCTACCATTATATATGTGTATATATGTATTTATATTATATGTTGAATTAACGCCAAGTTAATGTTATTATTCATGGGAAGTGATCGTTGTGACATTGCGTGACGACATCCATGGTTACTTATACCACAATATATCACTTCCATAGTTATTAATAAGATCGTTAGAATTATATAAAAAGTGGCGTTCCTAAACTACGCCAACGAGCTCTTACACTGTGTAAATATCAATATATCCCTAAATGTGAATCTATAATTGTTGGATACAAGGTTAATAAAATTGTGATTAAATAGAGTAATCAATAAATATATACATATAAATAAGTTAAAAAAAAAATAAAATAACACAACCATGGATCCAAGAAATTGTTATTCCTAGTTATTTTGCAACCACATTTATTATTAAATTCAATAATTTTTACTGTCATTGCTCATCTGACTATACCATATATGCTATATACTATACGAATATTCTTTCGAGACGCATTAGTAATGTGGTCTCTTGGCTTTTAGAACTAAATTTTACACCATACAGCATGAAATCTATACTACAGTCACGTGAAATACTGCCATCGAATGAAACACAAATCATACCAAACGAGCCTTGTCTATTCTGAAAAAGAAAAGAAAAAATTTCAATCAGCGTCTTTTCGAAACCATCACCATCTCTTCTTATGCTTAACTGAATTCGAACAAGTATATTACATCCATTAAAATATACAAATATATATATAACACTTACTTGTTCTAGAGGTTGAATTCGTATCTTTTAAAGCAGAAACTTATTTTAGAATCTTTCGTCTTTAATTCTAATATATATTTCTTAGAATTTAAGTAATACAAAAGATTTAGTTCTGTCGGTGGAAACAATATATTTAGCAACATATTAGCTCAATATATTTTCATATACATTCTAATTATCACTACATTAATTAATCATGGATTCCAGAACCGACGTTATTGATTTGGTGGGTAACACCCCATTGGTTGAATTAAAGACTTTACCAAAGTCTATGGGTATTAAACCAAGAATTTTCGCCAAATTAGAGTTATACAACCCAGGTGGTTCTATTAAAGATCGTATTGCTAAGTCTATGATCGAATATGCCGAATCTACTGGCCATATCCACCCATCCAGAACTACCTTGATTGAACCAACTTCTGGTAACACCGGTATTGGTTTGGCTTTGATCGGTGCTATTAAAGGTTACAGAACTATTATCACTTTACCAGAAAAAATGTCTAATGAAAAAGTTTCTGTCTTAAAGGCTTTAGGTGCTGAAATTATTCGTACTCCTACTGAAGCTGCTTGGGATTCTCCAGAATCTCACATTGGTGTCGCCAAGAAGTTAGAAAGAGAAATTCCAGGCGCTGTTATCTTAGATCAATATAACAACATGAAAAACCCAGATGCTCATTACTTTGGTACTGGTAGAGAAATCCACAAACAATTGGTTAACTTGGATCAATTCAAGAACTTGAGAGCTGTTGTTGCCGGTGCTGGTACTGGTGGTACCATTTCTGGTATTGCTAGATACATCAAGGAACAAGATGAAAAAATTCAAATTGTTGGTGCTGATCCAATCGGTTCCATTTTAGCTTTGCCAGCTGCTTTGAACGAAACTGATATCACTTCCTACAAGGTCGAAGGTATTGGTTACGATTTCATTCCAAACGTCTTGGACAGATCTTTGATTGATGTCTGGTACAAGACCGAAGATAAGCCAGCTTTCAAATATGCCCGTCAATTGATCGCCAATGAAGGTGTCTTGATCGGTGGTTCTTCGGGTAGTGCTTTCACTGCTTTGGTTGAATACTGTAAAGATCACCCAGAATTGACCGAAGATGACGTCATCGTTGCCATCTTCCCAGATTCCATCAGATCTTACTTGACTAAATTTGTTGATGACGAATGGTTGAAGAAGAACGACTTGTGGGATGACAGTATTTTGGAAAGAGTCAACGCCAAGAAGGCTCCATCTGCTGATATTTTCAAGGGTGCTACCGTCAAGGACTTGCATTTGAAACCAGTTGTCTCTGTCAAAGAAACCGCAAGTATTGCAGAAGTTATCAATATCTTGAAGGACAATGCCTTTGATCAATTACCAGTTTTGACCGAAGATGGTAAATTGGCTGGTTTGGTCACTCTATCTCAATTATTGAAACAATTATCCACTTCTAACACATCTAAGGACCAAGACATTAAAGGTTTATACTTGAACTTCAAGAAATTGAACAACTTCGATGAAGTATCTTCATACAATGAAAACAAATCTGGTAAGAAGAAATTCGTAAAGTTCACTGTTGACAGTAAATTGTCAGACTTAAACTTATTCTTCGAAAAGAACTCATCTGCTGTTATTACCGATGGTTTAACTCCAGTCCACATCGTTACCAAGATGGACTTGTTAAGTTACTTGGCTTAAGCAACAAAGAAATTCAAAAATATTCCCCATTTGTCATTATGATTTCTTGAACTTTATAACTTAATATTTTTATAAATTTTAGAAAAGTGTCATTTAATTATGTATAAATACATTTAAGTTCAATATATATATATATATATATAGTAACCAATTAAAAATTTCCATATAGTTCAATCTATATTTACAGAATATGTTCATAAATCCAATCCATTTTCATTGTTTGTAACAGTATTATATTGCATGTAGATATACGAGAATGTCTTATTTTTTTGGCTGCTCTAATCCCAAAACTGTCATCAAAGGCCCCAATTGATCTGGGCCTAACTGAATACCCGCATTAGCCAACTCCTCTTTCAATTCATTCATAGCTCTTCTCAAGTCTTTATCCATCAAGATATTTATCATTTGTTTAATGCCCAATCTTTTATCCTCATCGGAGTTTACTAAACCTTTCTCAACCATAATATTCTTAATATCCTCCAATTTAGAAACTATTGTGGGATGAGAGTTTATATCATCCATTAGTTTCTGAACTTTTAAATGTGCCTCCAAATTATTGTTGGCCTGTCTATCATCCCAGGATTTTGCATACCATCTTTTAGGAACGACCGCTGATTGAATCGAGGTTGGTTTGAAAATTGGAGCTAATCTTACAGCTCTAGACAAAGTAGAAGATTTTAGTATATTTCTAAGTAACATATTGATAGATTGAGTTATTTTATTCCCATCAGCTTTTTCCCAGCCTCTGAAGTTTGTTAGATCTTTTGAATAGACAGACCATCAAATCTAGTTCTTAATATTCTAATATGACTTTGATTAAATTTTCAAAAATAATTTTTGTCAGAAATTAATAGTACACCAAATAACCTAATAGATATAGATAGTATAAAAATAAGTAATGAAATGTTACATGTGTAATTATCAATGGACTATATAAGGATAATATACAAACCCAAATTTTATAATAGATAAAATAATGATGATGATTTCATTATATAAATAGAATTGAGATCATCATAAAGAAACGTATTTATCAATGACTTTTCTTTCCCTTAAACAAATTAAAAAAACAGAGATGAATTTGCATAACTATGAGAATTTCCATCTGTTACCACAAGCTTCACAGGTACAGAAAGTTGTTAAAGGTTCATCCGCAGATCTTGTTTGTAATTGATAGTATGATACTTTTTTCTCTTTACATTTACCACAAGTGAATCTATCTGTGACGGATCTTTCAATAGTGGCACCTTGGGCATTAAATAAGTTTTGTCTTGTAATTTCCTCCATTTTTTGTTTCAAATGTTCAGGAGCTAATTCTTTGGTGTCACAATTAGCTAAGAATACTGCAGTGATATCCCCATTATTAATTTTATGTTTTAAATCTTGATGATTCTTGGAAATGATATTAGAGTATATTACACGGTATCTTTCTTTGTAACTCTTTTCATTACTATCACAATCATAGGCTTTATTCATTTCTTCTTCAATACTTTTACAAGTGGCCAATATTGATTTTGGTGGATGTTCACTTCCTTTTGCTAATGCATCATAGAATGCCTTAATAACCATATCACGAAGTTTATGGTTATAAATATTAGTATCGACACCATCGTTTTTAGCATTTCTTGGGACGGTGCTAACGTACTTCATTTGTTTTCTAGTATCAGAAGAACCACTAACATTTCCATCAGGTGAAACATCACTAGCACCAGAACCACCACTAACGTTAGAATCAACGGTAGATCCGGAATTATGAGCACCAGAACCACTACCGCCGCTGCCATTAGTATTATTAGCTTGAGCTTGCTGCAATTTTATCTTCTTACTTCTATTAATTGCATCTTTCCAACTATTAATCATTTTCCTCACCAATTTCGAAATTTCAACATTACTAGATTTCTTAAATTTATTAACTTCAACACCAACTTTAGTCTCCCTCAACAACTTCTCGGTTGCAACAACTTCCTTATCCAGAGTCTGCAATATCTTTAAAACATGACTATCATCATTTTTACCTTTCTCTAAATCCTTAACCAATTCAATAACCTCTTTAGCTTCCATTTTTAAATTTATTCTATATTAACATTCACTTATTCACAAACAAATAATTAACGAAATCACAATAGGAAAACCAAATGCTTTGTTTCTATTTCAACCTCACCAGATACAAAACAAACTTATTCAAAAGTACAAGACAACACACTTGCTATAATCCTAATATATCAATAATATAATCAATCCATTATCATTTGAATCTTTCATCTTTAAAATTTAAATCCATCATCACTATTTCAATTGATATTATTATTTTTTTTCCTCTTCCTTGATGCAATAACGAATAAATTTTCATTCAGATAAAGCTTTAAAAAGATATCTAACTATACATATAATGAAGTATATACTTCCAACTTGGTTGGTAAGCAAGGTCAATATTGATGGGAGGTAGTAGGATATAAGGTCGTGAATAGTACGGTATAGTTATATTGTTTGTTTGTTTGCGTGTGTGTGTTATTATAGTAAAGTGCCCTTTTTCCTGAATAGAGTGATCGCATCGATAATAATGAATAGAGGTACTAATGTTCAAAACAATCCACCTTCTCGTGTAGTATACTTGGGTTCTATACCATATGACCAGACAGAGGAGCAACTGTTAGATTTGTGTCGTAATGTTGGTCCTGTGGTGAATTTGAAGTTGATGTTTGATCCACAAACTGGGAAATCTAAAGGTTATGCATTTGTCGAGTATAAGGATTTAGAGACTAGTGCAAGTGCTGTTCGTAACTTGAATGGTTATCCAATCGGTTCTAGATTTCTAAAATGTGGTTATTCTAGCAATAGTGATATTGGTAGTGGTGGTGGTAATGATTTGATTGGTAATGATCAAGATTTTGGAAATAATAATGGTAGTAGTAATGGTAACAGTTCAAATACATTCTTACGATTTCCTGAGTTGCCTTCTGGTATTGACGTCAATATAAATATGACTACACCAGCAATGATGATATCCAGTGAATTGTCTAAGAAGAGTCCTGAGGAACAATTAGAGATCCTATCAAAGTTTCAAGATTGGAGCAAAGAAAATTTAGATGATGCAATTGCACTATTAGAAGAGTGCCCACAACTGGTCATTTCCTTTGCTGAAATGTTATTAACTAATGGTATTTCAAAAACAGACGATCTGCTTCCCTTGGCGGTTCAATCGAATACTAACTCTAATGACCAAAACCAAAATGAATCTGATAAGGATCCTAAACTCCAGGAAAAGCAAAAAAATCTATTGAAACAAGTATTACAATTAAGTGATAGCGAAATTTCAATCTTACCAGATGATGAAAGAATGGCCATATGGGATATCAAGCAAAAGGCAATGAAGGGAGAATACGGAATGATATGACCTAATGTTAGAATCCCAATTTAATTAATCCTTCAATTAAAGACAGAATAATTGAAATATATATATATTAGCATCTTGACAAAATCATACCACTACCACAACATATTATAATGAAATGAGATACACAGATAGAATACAGTTTTTATATACTTGTATATATTGTTTATATCTGTTCCAGTTACATATAACTTCAAAATAATAGACAATATCTTTAAACATTACTATCTTCTTTATATTATTTAAATCCATAGATGTTTATAAAAGGGGAGGATGAAACTATACGGCGGCAAGAATAAGAACTCTTTGTCACTATTCATGGGATATCTTGATGTATAAATAACGAGGTAAAGCAAGGTATATAGCATGTCTTATAGCTTCAATTATGGTAGAATTTTGATAAGGAGGTATATATTATAATGAGGTTTAGTTTTGGGTAAAATATGTATATTTTCTAAGAAGTTTTAGATTTCGTCACTTGAACGAGCACCAGAAATCTTACCAGTTCTTGGGAAAGACAAGGGATGAAAATATGTTCTAGAATTTAATAATAAGACATCTAATATATATATATATGGGTAAGATATTTCAGGTAGGTTGTATACATGCCAATTTGATAACGGTAACATACCTTTATCTAGTGAATTGATTTTAGGATTTACGAGATAATTATCAATTCTGATATCCATTAGGATTGTTTAATTTATGTTCGTTGAAGTGGTATAAGTTACGATAAAAAGTGGTTTAAAAGAATAATGGATCTGATATAATATGACACCAGAGTTAATTTGAATATTTTGCTTTTATAAGCGGTTAAGTGAAGTTATATTAGATTAGATAGGTTGGGACAAGGGATTATGTAAATCACGTGATACACCATATGCCATTATATGTACTTCTTTCATCAAACAATTAGCCACCTAAGCAACATGATATTTTGTCAGATATCATGAAGACTATAGTATCCTTCAATTTAAGCGTTTGGGTTATAAGGATACATGTATGTTGTTCTTTTCGAATATATAATTGGAAACATCTTCCATGGAGAGGGACATAAGACATCGAAAGATCGAGATATGAAGAAAACAGGTCAAGCAAAAATAACCAAAATAATGCAGATATAATCAAATTCCCAGCGTTAGACAACTAAGATTTGGATAAGATTTCATTCCATATGTGAAGGGGATTCTAGTTAACAAAGCTATACCTTTATTTTTCCAAGTTTTGCTTCATTATTTAATATATACCTATCAAATTGCCAAGTTAGAATGTGATTTCAAGAAAGAAACAGAAGACAGAAGACAGAAGATAGAAAACAACAAAAAAGAGATGGTACTCTATGTTTTTTCGATTGCTAGTTGCCAACTAATTATGTTCGGCCAGTATTATTTGCCGTCCGATTTCATCAGTCCAATTAAAACATATGACCTCTTCCAAATGTATTATTTTTTTTCTTTAATACTCCTTCCATTATATGTCGATGTATATGTATATTGATGATGGTAGTCCTTCTGTGTTGCCCATATTTTTGATAGTTGAGCTTCACCGAGAGACCACTGGTTGGGTCTTTTTTTGTACTATGACGGCGCTACCCCAGGACGTGCTTAAATCTTTAGCCTATTTACCCCTTTGTTAAAGCTTCTCATTTTTCAAAGAATTAGACCTACACACCTCTCGAAATGCTTAAAAAGTGTGGTTATAGACTACTGGGTATTTACCAATGGTTTATAACCCAAAAAATGTACGTAATGGAAAAAAAAAAAATGAAAATTCAGAATACCTTAATGCAAGGCAAGGCATCAAATTGAACTTCGATTCGAACACTATAGCTAAGTGCTTATTAATATTGGTAAATGAAAATGAAAATGTACTGTAACATATTAACGAAATGGCACTAAATGGCACTAAATTGCCTATTTTTTCAAATATCTAATTGGATTTTCGACTATTTTGATGGTCTACAACTGTTAGATATTTTTTATTTCATTCGAATATAAATTAAAAAGAGATTTCTATCTAATATGTTTTTTAAAGTGCTTTCTCATTATATTTTTGTTTGATTTACTTTTCTTATCTGGCAATCAAGACCTAATTAAGAAAATAAACTTCAAAGTTTGTGAATAAATTACACAGTTTGCTAAGTGTACCTTAACTGTACCAAAAACTAAGTAAAACAAACTATCAAGTTTACTTTGCTAGCTCAACCTAGTATTTATTGTAATTTATTCATTTCAACATGGCTACAGAAATTATTACCGAGAAAAAGGAAATTGTTGCAAGGACAAGGTCTTCTGGTATCACCTTCAATCCTCCTGTAACTCATGATATGGTTAGATCTTTATTTGATCCAACCATTAAAAAATCATTTTTAGAATGCTGTATCACTTTAACCATTCTAGCTAATTTTGTATTATGCTACTATTTGATAAATTGGTTTGGTTTATCACAAGCGAAGTTGATCTTTCTTATCCAATATGTCTACTGGAGATTGGCTTACAATCTAGGTATTGGTATTATATTACACTACCAGTCTCATTACGAATCATTAACTAAGTATGCAAACCAGAATAAATTATTTAAAAAAGAGAGCGCTAAAACTAACTGGATTGCATCCTTTTTTCAATTCGAAATTAAATCTAAGATGCCAAACGATTATAACTTACATTCTTACCCAGATGAATTGAACTGTTGGTTATTATTTCGTCAATTTGTTGACCTAATTTTAATGCAAGATTTTACTACATATATCATATATGTGTATTTATCTTTACCAACCGATGTTTCTTCGTTGATCAATTGGAAATCTTTAATAGGTATTGCCATGATTCTTTTCAATATTTGGGTTAAAATAGATGCTCATAGAGTTGTTAAGGACTATGCTTGGTATTGGGGTGATTTCTTTTTCTTGCAAGATGCTGAACTGACCTTTGATGGTGTCTTCAATATTTCCCCACATCCAATGTATTCTATTGGTTACTTGGGTTATTATGGGTTATCTCTAATCTGTGGTGATTATCGTGTTTTATTAGTTTCTGTTGGTGGTCATTTCTTACAATTTTTATTCTTGAAGTATGTCGAATCTCCACATATTGAAAGAACTTACGGATCCGATTCTCCATCCAATTCTACCCAACATCAGATAGACGATTTGATTGCTAAAGAAAACTATGATTATTCAAGACCTTTAATTAATACTGGTATTTTATTTGAAAATTTCCAATTTTTAAGATTCAGTGACTATTTTACTGTATCCACTATTTTGGTACTGTTCTCTTGGTTTTTTACTTCAAAACCATCTAATAATTTCCTATTTGTGCTAACTTTGTTAACTAAATTAACAACTTGGTTATTAACATCATGGATTTTATTCCAGCAATCCAATAGAAAATGGTTTACAAGATTGTTCTTAAAGAATGGTTATACCCAAATTTATTCCTATCAACAGTGGCAATTCCTATATAACTACTCATTAATTGTCACCAATACGTTGCTATTCCTACATACATTGAGTGAATTATACTCAATTCAATCTTCTGACGGATTAAACAATTCCCATGTAATTTTTGGTTTACTGTTATGTGCCATCCAAATTTGGTGTAATGTTGAAACTAGAGATGCGATTTCTGATTTTGGTTGGTTTTATGGTGATTTTTTCTTAACAAATTACATCACTACTAGAAAATTGACATCTCAAGGTATTTACAGATATTTGAACAATCCGGAAGCTATTTTAGGTGTTGCTGGTATTTGGGGTTCTGTATTAATGACAAACTTTTCAAAAACAAATGTGACATTGGCCGTTTTATGGACTGTTACAAACTTAATTTTTGTTAAATTAATTGAAGAACCACATGTTTCAAAAGTTTACGGTAATGGTACCAGAGTTAGTGGTGTTCAACAAACTTTGCTAGCCTTGAAACCATTTAGATGGATCTCTGATTTAATTGATGATTGGGGTAATAAAATGATGAAGTCCTTACATGGTTTTGATTCTGATTCTGATTCTGAATCAATTTCTTCAGGTAAGAAGGGTAATTTGAGTTCATTGAAATTGTCAAAAAAATCTAAACTAAAGAATAGAGTACAATCTGATAATAAATTAGCTCCAAACTCTAAATTTGAAATTGAAGATTTAGAAGATGAAATAGTTTATTTGCCAAATTCTGTTACTATAAGCTGGAAATTGCCTATTTCTATGTTTAATGAAAAAGACTGGATTGGTTTATATAACGTTCTAGAAACTGGTAGTGATCGTACTCAAACTAAAATCCCATCTTTGGGTCATTGGAGTGCAGTTGATGCTACAGGATATCCACATGATAGTATCAATACCAATTCTATTACGGAGTTTAAGAAAGGTTCCAAAAATGTATCCGGTAGAGTGACTTTCGATGCTAATTTACTGTACTTCAAACCAGGTATTTATGAATTTAGATACCATTCTAAAAATTCGCATAAGGTTTTATTGATTTCTTCGCCATTCCAAATATCATTCCCAGAATTTGATAACGAAGCTCAAGTAGACATTAAAAATGAAATAATGAAATTCTTAGATGCAATCTCTTGTATGAAGAATGAAAAATACTTCGCTAACGATAACAAGTATTTCACAGCAGATGCATTCAGTAATTACATTAAGGATTCTTTTGGTATTGAATTGTCTACAGATTACATTAGAAGAGTTAATGGTGATGTTGAAGTTATCTCTCGTAGGGTTCATGATATTAAGGAAGTGTTGGATAGTTTAAATTGATACAAATCTTTCAGGAAAACTAATAATATAAATAAAAAAATAATTTTCCACTAATTTAATATAATAATATTTATGTATATTATATCTAAGGCTATTTAACAAAAATCGTTTTTGTTTTGGTGNATTAAGTGATTGATGATAAAAGCTCTGTAATGGCAATACTGTTGTCCACAGTTTTCTATCCATCCTTCTATGGCGGCCTTGGTTCCCGTCGCCTTCCCAAACCCTAATACTTCGAGAACGTCCTTCAAAAATGAATGACATCTCCCTTAAAATGACCACCCTGGGCAATGTCTACAACTTCTAACCCAGGTCCAACTAGTGCCAAGTTTTTCCCTTAAACAATAGGGAAAAACACAGAAGAGG